GAACACACAATTAAAAAAACAGCCACAAAAAGCAAACAACTCCTTAAGATTATACACACTATTATTTATGGACCTATTGATGTTCCATCTTTTGGTGGAGAAAAGTATTTTATCACCTTTATTAACAAATTGTAATGTTATGATTATGTTTACTTAGTACATGAAATCTCAATCAATAAATGCCATAGAGGTATTTATTAATAAGGCTAAAAAACAATTAGGTTGTAAGGTAAAATTTGTTAAATCTAACAATTATAGTGAATATTCTAGAAAGTATGATGAAAATAGACAATGTCTTAGTCCATTTGCTAAGTTCCTTGAAAAGCATGACATATGTGCTCAATACACAATGCCAGGTACACTACAACAATATGGTGTTGTAGAAAAACATAATTGTACTTTAATTAACATGGTTAGGAGTATGTTAAGCAATTATTTTTTACCCTTATCATTAAGGATGCATGATTTGAAAACAACCATATATTTGTTAAACAGGATTCCTAGTAAGACAGTTCCAAAAACTCCTTTAAATTATGGACAAAAAAAAAACCAGTTTAGGGCACTTACATGTTTAGGGTTGCACGTAGAATTAAGAATTTATAATTCACATAAGAAAAAATTGGATTCAAGAACAATCAATACTTTTTTCATTGGTTATCTAGAAAAATCTAATAGGTATATATTGTACTATCCTAGCCATTTATTAAAATTGAAAATGCTAGTTTCATTAAAAATCACGAAATGAGTGATAGTGTGGAACCACGCAAAGTAAAACTTCAAGAAGTTAGAATGCAAACTCTTTTTCCTATAACTTCTTCTTAAATTATTATTCTTATAGTTGTTGAATAGTTTTAACAACTTATAAGAACAACAAATAAATGATCAAACACCCTATTATGAAATTATTGCTAATGAACATGCAATGCATGAAAAACATGAGATAACATTAAAAAGGTTTCAAAGGCAAAAAAGATCTATTATTTCTAATGAATATATGGTTTATCAACAAGGGTCAAAATTTAATTTATGAATTGATAAAGATTCAATTGCAATTTCACAAGTTATAAAAAATGTTAATTCTAAGATACCATGAAAGAATAGTTGAATCAATATATCATAATGATGTTTACAATCTTATTGAATTGCATGAAAGTTGTGAAAGAGTTGGGTGTAGATGGGTCTTCAAGACCAAGCACAACTCGAATGACAATATTAAACAATATAAGGCTAGACTTATTGCAAAAGGTTTTACTCAAAATGATGGCATTGACTATAAACAGTCATTTTCTCTGATTTCTAAAAATGACTCATTTCAAATTATTATGATAAGAGTGGCTCATTATGACTTAGAGTTACATCAAATGGATGTGAAAATAGCTTTTTTGAATGGAAATTTAGATGAAGAAGTTTACATGAAATAGCCCGAGGATTTTTCAATTAAAGAAAAAGAACACATGATGTGTAAACTTAAAAAGTCAATATATGGACTTAAAACAAACTTTCTGACAATGGTATCTTAAGCTCAATGACATTATTTTTTTTTTTTTTGGATTAAAGGAAACATTATTGATAAATGTATATATCTGAAGGTTAATGGGAGTTATTTTATATTTTTAATTTTTTATGTTGATGACATTTTGCTTTCTACTAATGATCTTGGCTTATTGGATGAGACTAAGAAATTTCTCTTTAAGAATTTTAAAATTAAGGATATGGACGAGGCATCCTATGTAATTAGAATTGAAATATTCTGTGGTAGTCATAAGCTTGTTAGGATTGTCTTAGAAAACACATATTAATAGAGTTCTAGAGAGATTTAAATTGGAATAATGTTCTACAAGTTTTGTTCCAATACAAAAGGAAATAAATCGAGCCTATACAATGCCCAAAAAATGAATTGGAACACAAACAAATATAATAAACTCCTTATGCATCATGCTATTATTAGAAGCTTGATATATGCCCAAATTTGTACCAAACCAAACATTAGTTTTAGTTTAAGAATGATTAGCAAGTATTAAAGTATTGAGATACTTGCAATGAATGAAAGATCACATGCTCACTTATAAAAGATCCAATCATCTTAAGGTGATAAGATATTTGGATTCAGATTTTGCTAGGTGATTGATATCAGAAAATCCACATTTGGCTATTTGTTTCTCTTAATCGATAGAGTGATTTCATGAAAAAGTGCAAAGCAGTCTATCATTACTCTATTGCTCTATCCGCTATGGAAACTAAGTTTGTGGCATGCTTTAAGGCCATAGTTCATGGTTTATGGCTATGAAACTTTATTTTAGGATTTGAAATTGTCGACAGTATTGCTAAGCTACTAAAAATTTAATGTGATAACGTTGCAACAATCTTCTTTTTTTTGAAACAAGTATTCAAAATGTGCTAAACATATGAAATTGAATTACTTTGCTGTTAAAGAAAAAGCCCAAAAGCAAAAAGTGTCAATTGAACACATTAGCAATAATCTTATAGTTGCAAATCTATCAACGAAAGGTTTACCACCAAAGACATCTAATGAATATGTCCAAAAAAAAAAGAGCATTATTAAAAGCTACTATTGACATTATGATAAAGTTTTATATTCTTAATGAATTTGACACTCTGAGATCTTTTAAGTATTATTTCTAAGATATTAATGCATCCTATTCAATTATGTTAGTAATATACATAATTGAAATATATGAATATGAGCAAGATTTGTCCTTAACGAAGACATTATTGGAACATTATAACATCTCTCATGAAAGGTTATGTTAAGTATAAAATTAACAATGTGATACATAGAAAGGATTATATCAAACTAATGAAATACAACCGCAATTATTCTTATTATTTTTTGCTCAATGATGATTTATGATTTGATCATTAAAGAAAGGACTTTGCTTATATTATCCACATTATATTTTATTATTAAACCATAAAGTTGAATAATTCTATGTAAGCTGAGTAGAAGAATGTTAGATATCATGGCCAACATGTCGTTATCTAACTTTGAGTAATATCTTTTATTTTAATTAAATGATATTTATGGTTTGATAATTAATGGAAGCTAAATATCTCATTGATCAATACAAATTGGAGTGTTATTTTGCTAATAACTCATAGAATGTATTAATAAATGCTATTAGAGAATAAATGAAAAATTGCTCGTCTTTGCCTATATATTGATAATTTCTATTCATCAAGAAAATATGTAAAAAAATTACAAAGGTCAAGTGAGAGAAATAAAATGTTTCATAAAATATTTTTTAAGTTATAATGGATTAAGGTATGATCTCTTTTTAATTAAAAAATTATGAAAATTATCATATTCTAAGACTTTGAATATTAAGATTATACAAAATTAAAATTTATTTGTATAATAAAAAAAAACTATCAACATCGACAGGGATAAATATGCCCAGGGCCGACCACCAGCTTGTTAAGCAAATTCGCCAAAGACCTAGTGTTCAAAGGTTTCTGATTGATCAACGAGGTTGCTTTGCGCTGGGACTGCCCTTCGTCTTGCCAAGGATCTGGCAGAGAAAAATACCGGTGCCCGTGTTCTTATTGTATACTCTGAGGAGTGCGAGCTCACGGTAATGATGAGTTTCCATGCACTATGATACCCACTTAATATACTTGTTGGGTCAGCAATTTTTGCTGATGGGGCTGCAGCTGCAATTGTTGGTGCTGGTCCTGACACCACCACAATCGAGCCCGTGTCGAATTGTATCAGCAACTCAGACAATTATACCTGATTCTGAAGATTGAACAGTAGGAAACATACGTGAAAATGGGCATGGCTACCTAAGGTCCTTGATAACTTCTTGGAGCGATGCTTGCTTGTATTGCTTGAACCGCTCGGTACTACAATTGGAATGGACGACTGGAATGGGTTGTTTTACTTTTATATAGATCATCTGGTGGCCCAGCTGTTCTCAGAGGAGTTGAAGAAAATCTTGGGTTGTCAAGAAACAAGATTAAGGCCCTGCTGGGAGAATATGAAAAAATGTGGAGTCCAAGCGTTTTATTTGTTTTGGATGAAATGAGGAAATAATCAATGAAGGCAAGCCCACCACTGGGGAAGGGTTGTTGTGGGGTATGCTCGTCGGCTTTGGGCCTGGTCTCACAGTGAAGACTGTGCTTCTTCATAGCTTTGCTTTTAATTTTAGCAAAGTTTTATTACTATGCTTTGTCATTATTTATAGACTCGGTTTGCATTGTAAAGTGGCTGGCGTGGCTCAGCGTTAATAAGAAGTGTTAACTGTCAAGCCTGTGCCTTCTAAAGTCAATAATTATGGAAAGAGTTGAGTGTGTTTTAGCAGTCAATTACGCCCAGAATTGTCGATTTGATAGCAAATTTGTCTTTAAAAAACACCTGATAAAAGTAGGGAAGAGCATCCATACGTACCAATCTTTCCTTAATTACTAGCCCCTACTTTGAAGCATAGTTGGAGGTCCGGCCTCGATGGTCCCAACTCCCAGTCAATAAATCAGGTACTTAAAGATAGAAGACTCCAAGTCAACAAATGTATTAAAAATGCGAAGATTGATAGAGAACCTTCAGGAAAACGCTTATGGCACACTCAATTTTGTACTACTCATCCATCCTTACCGGACGCTCAGGGAACCTGCACTTGATTTCCAATAATAAATCATTGGAGATTACTATTTGATTGAAAGCAATTTTGTACTTTAGCAAACAAGCAGCCACTTCTGTTGTTTTATGAGTTGAAGTGCATGACCAAGATTGAGGATCAGCATCGTTCATAAACAAGGCAAAATAAGGAGGGGAGGGGTGTCAGTTGCTTAACTGTCAATATTCCTAATATAGTATCGCATTCGTTTTGTAGGCGTAGCATGCCAAAAAGCGTTTTCAGGTTTACATAATGGGCCCCCCAAGAAACAACAGGAACTACACGTGCGTTACACATTCATCCCTTCGACAATTTCAATCAGGGCCACTGGCGGGCAAGCGGTGTCATTAACCATAAATAATCAGGGAAAACAAATTTGAGAATTGGCGCGACTTAAAGATGCTTTTAACATTTCATTGATAAAACACTAAGCTATATGTTTCACTTTTCTGAAATTAGTACACAAAGTGGGAGGGAAGCCCTTGATCTGTCATATAGTTGTACCATGATTCAGCCAGGGCCAGAGGCAATTCTGCCCGATTCTCACGCCGCAGAAAAGCAGCTATAATCGAAAAACCATCAGCTTTCGGACATCCTTTCATGGGGAAGGTTTCCAATCAAATTGAAGATTATTAAAACCATTAACTGCTCCTATACCACTAAGCAGCTGGTTCCCCAAATCCTGTTGTTGGTGATTCATACCTTGATTCCGAGCCATTGGTGTCATGCCTACCCTTCCATTCGTGACAGGGTTATTACCCATAGCAGCTCTGATTCCAATAGCAGACTGGCCAAGCCCACCACCCATTGAACCAAACCCACTGCTACCAATACCGGAATTATTGTTGACAGTTCCATTCCCCACCAAACCGTTGCCACCATTGAGAACCGTATTGTTACCTGTTGGCAACAATCCATTTGCACTCTTCACATCATGGCCTAGAGTGCCAACGCCAACCAGACCACCTGTGCCATTAAGTTGACTAGACATTATTTCATGAATGATTTTCTGAACAGAGCTTTGTGATTCACTTGGATCAACCTCACCAGAAAGAGCTGGCTGCTGCATGGGCATATTCACAGGAGAATTTGCAGAGCTCATGTGACTAGAAGCTGCTAAGGCACCATGTTGAGCTTGAGGATTATTGGATGTGGAGGGTGTTGGTGACTGAAATGGAGAAGGATTTGGTTGTGCTTGCGGTATTGTACCAGAGGAACCAGGGGAAGGAATCTGAACAGAATTTCCACCATAGGGACTGCTTGCATTATTCATAGAATTCTGGTGCCTGGAGTTCATGGAATTCTGGTGTAAAAGCCCAACAATGGCGCCAGCAGGTGTTGATGCAGATGCTGCATTAAGAGAGTTATTTACATTAGCCCCACCATTGTTAGTGGCCTGGGCAGAACTTTGATCACTATTAGAACTCTGGGCCATCATTTGCTGTTGCGATGTCTGCTGCTGCTGTTGCTGTTGCTGTTGTAGCCGCTCCTCAGGCTGTTGAGCTTGAGCATGAAAACCAGATGAAGTGCTTGTCCTTCGAGGAAACTTAGTCAAACTCTCTGAGAAAAAACAAAACAAACGAGATTAACAGGCCTGCTCAGACATTTTTGAGCCAACATGATAACAAATGAGTCTGAAGCTACACATGTTTATAGTTCTTATTTCTGTCTACACTGTAATCATTATTTTGCAATCATAGGGAAAATAAAGAAAACCTCAATCACTACCCTGGAAGCAGAGTAGCTTGCAGTTTGCACCGGAGGGAGTAAGTCTTTAACAAACCTACATTCATATTGAGCTAGAGAAGCTACGGTTGAGAATGATAATCTAAAGCAGAATTAGAGCTTTATAAGAGGTCTGGAGAGTGAAGATAATCGTGCTCAACCAATTCCCTTGTAGGGTTATATGCCAGAAGCAAAATATATCAATTCCCTATAGTGATACAAAATCAGCTTTCCTTCGAAAGATCAAAACCACATGTTTCAGGAACAGTCATGTCTGTATTTCCTAAATAACTGCAATAACAATAGACATTCAAACATCAAACTGTTTACCTAAGTAACTATTTCAATTAGATAAAAGAATAAAGACTTAACAGCCCCTCACTTATGCATTCTCACTCTTCCAACCCAGTGTCTGCTGAAAGATCGATTGCAGCTTTCTTTATTCTCTATCTAGAATTTTTGCATTACCAACTATCTTAGGCTTCACCACAACATGAACATCTTTCTTCTTGCTCTCTAAATCCTCTTTAGATTCATAGTTATTACTCACAACATATATTGATTCAACTGAGTTCTCAATTTCCTTCAAATGCCTGTGACCTCCAGCAAGTAGCATTAAGCATCATCTGACATAAATAGGAAGCATTATAAAGATGACAAGCAATGCCTATATAATCTCACATCTAATAAGACTGTTGTATCATTACTAACAAATGAATCTGGGCTAGTTGAATGGAAAACCTATTATTTTCTGTGTTCCCACAGCTTTCTTAATTTGGAGCTAAGTTGGTCAAGGTGAAATAGAATGAAAAAGCAACAAAATGATCCCCCAAAGCCAAAGGGTTTCAATGGCCTACAGCTACAAGAAAGGTTAATTGAAAGGTCTTATTCTTCATTTTTTTTTTTTTTCTTTTAAGGTTGGAAACAATCTTATTGATGTAAATAAATTATAAATGTTCCTTCAAGGACTTGAGAGTTGAGACCACACTCCCCATATTCCATACTAATGCCCTAACATTAACCCCAGCTCTAAACAAGCCTGCAAGGCATCTCACATCCCTCAGATCAATAGGAGATATCTACACTATTATTAAAGTATCTCACTGAATTTGGTATCACAAATCAAGTAACATCAACTCAGGCAACGAAATTACCAAAAAAAAAAAAAAACCAAAAACATAAAATAAGGGGTATTTATGTCATTCTATTTATAAGGTTTTTTTTTTTTTTTGTTTCAGATGTGTTATTGTGTTTAGAAATAACTATCCACTCATTTCACTTTAAATAAAAACTGCTTACATTTTGTTTTACATATTAATCTCTTTCAAAATATACAATTTTTTCTTTTAAAATATCATGTTTTTCACCCACATAGTGGGTGTGTCCAATTCTAGTTTTAACAAACATGTATTGTGCACGTATGACCCTTACATGTACAAAACCAAAAATTATCCAATATCAACCCAAATGGTAGGAATATACTAGGCAGCTCAACAATCTCATAACTGAAACAACCACAAACAATAGAATAAAAGGTAATATTCTAACTAATCTATAAAAGAAAAATAATTTCTCACACTATTTGAAAAAACCACAAGGTGAAATATGAACAATCAAATTTTATATCCTGCAATACAATATTTTCAATGGCACAACTAAACAAACACATTGGACTGCTAATCGCCAGAAACAAATAACCCTTAAATGTCCAAAATTAAAAAACAAGAACAATATCAAAGGGCTGTAGCATCTACAGCTGTAAATCAGCTTTATAGAACTCCCATTGGAAATTAGTTTAAAGGTAAACCAATAGAAAATGGATGGTAATAGAAACTCTCAAGAACTATTGTGGGATAGCTGGATCAGTACTTCCAAGCATTTAAAATATATATTTAAAAAAATGCCAATGAGAAAATAAAATAAATTTAGTAACAGAGCTTGTCAAAACTTACCCATGGGTCCAGTCCTTGTTTCTCTACTGTAATCAATCAAGTCTTTCATGCTATTAACAACTTCAGATATCTGTTTAAAACCCCCAACAAAAACAGAAACAGTACATTAGTAGGCTATGTACATTTCAATAGCATACATTTTCAATAAGGAGATACAACTGTAAAACTCATCTTCACATTTTAGTTTTTCCCATTGTCATACCATGATAACAAACATTTTACTCATTAAGGTACATCTCAATAACATGGCATTACACTTAATCTTCATAACATGCAACTGCTAGAACACTTTGATGATGGAAGTATGTTTATGGATCCACAAGAACTTCAAAAGATTGTGAAATTAGTAATTTATAGTTGGAAAAACCGCCAAGTAAAATAAAAGGTTATAAAGGACATCAATCTGCCTTAGAAACAAAACAAAATTTTGGAAAAAGGTAGAGCATGGCATCTGTTTTCCCCAAAAGAAGTAGAAGCATTTGCTGGCACAGTTATGAACAAAATCTCGTACAGAGATTTTGTTCAGCCAATATCCAGAAGCCACTAGGACAAATACCCCATTACATGATTAAACAAATTTCATCATCAACCAAATGTAGCAGAAAAAAAATTCCCAATACAAAGTTCAAATTAGAAATGAGAACAGCGAAAAACACCAAGCAGATTAATAACAAATATTAACAAAGTAAAGAGGAAACTATTTTGCAAAAAAATCCAAAATATAAGAATACATCTCTCCGATATCCAATTTTATTGTAAGCAGATGCAGCAAATCACCTGAAGACACCGTACATATCTCTTCGTATAACCCAAATCATTTACCAATGGCACTTCCAAGGCTTTTGCCAATTGCCGAGCTGATGCTACAAACCTAAAGTTTATTAATAGCTAATTAGAAATCCATGTCAGCAGTAGAGGTCACACATATAGATAATAGATATTACTATTATTTAAATTAAAAAAATAAACAGATTAATGCACTGCAAGTTGATTTTATATACGTAAGTGTGTGCATGTCAGTGTGTGACTAAGACTCCTAACCAGAATCTATCAAAATGAAGCATCTAAGATATCTGTAAAGAGACTAAAGTACAAGCCTACTGTGAAACAGACAACAATGATTTTAAGTGAAGCCGAGATTAAATTAAAAGAAACTTTGGAATTATGGCCATTATTTGATGTTGGACTAATTTAGGGTCTTATTTAAGCTGAAATTGATGTTAGAAATATATATTTCTATGATCTTTAAGACAGAAGGTGGTTATTTTCATTCTATTTCATGCAATCATCATTACTCTGGTAATTTTCAGGTACAAAAGTTGCAGATTTTGAATTTGAGAACCCTATTTTAGGTTCACATGTTTGTTTGATTTGATTTTCAGTTCAGGAACTGTTTAAGGGAAGTTTGTTAATGTGCTATTCTTGATCCCCAGTGACAAGAATGAGATTACTGGAACTCTACAAATTTGCATATAACTTTCAATTAATAAAGGAACAAGTGTGCATGATTTTCACCATCTTTTTCCTGCTTTTGGGTCGTATGAAGCAGAACTAACACTGTTATGCCGGGTATAAAGCCTTTAAAACAGTTATTGAGTGAAGCCTCTGGAAATAAATGTGTGACACCTAGACCTTTTATCTCTTTTTCTCAATCTTTACTTTCCAGCACAATTTCAGATTAGCAACCTTCCTACTGTTGGAACCCAGGAAAATCCTTATAGCCAGACAACCAATTCGATAATAAAACAAAACAATTTCCCACCCTAACCCAAGTTTATATATTATTCATGAAAATTTTCCACAGCTCAGGGCTAGCAGACAGGTGTTATCCTTTTGCTTTTGTTTCATTGCTTAAGAGCACAATCATTCCAACCACAATTCAACCAAAATCTATAAGGAAAACTATCTTCTCTCATCAAATTAAATCCTATAATCATATTTTCTTGCCCGCCACATATCCAACATTTTTATGTGATGTAATTCTCTAAACCTCATCAAGCTATGCGCTCAAGGGCATGTGTGTTGCAGCCTATAAAATGTTTAGCATGCATCCCTTAAATATCACGGAAGGCATAATAAAGAACATCTAGTCATAACTATAATACTTCAACTATCATTAGGGAAAAAAAAAAAAAAGGAAAGAAGAGACAGACACAACTATAATATTCTTCTTCTATGCCATCTTCAATGCAGATCATCTAATTAAGAACACCAAAAGTATGTCCTCAAGGAAGATAATCGACGACCACCCTCATATATTGTTACCCAAGCAGGAATAAAAACAGGTTTCAATCTGTATATATTTTCAAAGCTTTAAACCGCTTGTCTACTTTTAATTAATAGAGATGATGTGTATTAAACATAGCAAATAAAACTGAAAAAAAAAATATGCTTTACCCAAAAGAAAGAGTTTCCAAACTAACACAGGGTTTTGCTAAGAAGTGCCATCAGGGCACTCTTTAAGGTTAGTTAATATACCATTCATAGTAAAAATTTTGTATTAAATGCAATAGTCGATAACTTTATTCATGATTTCCAATGCATTGGATGAAGATATTACTTTATATAGTAACGTTAAAGAGTGCCTTAAGGGCACTAGTTAGCAAAATCCACTAACATAATTGGCAACATCAATACACAAGTGTAAGTGACTGAAACAGCACGTATAACTAGGTCATGAGAAAGAGGAACACACATGGCATGCACACACTAGAAGAGGAAAAAGAAAGAAAGGAGAGAGCTATCAACCAAACCACCAAATAAAAAGGATAGAATGGTCCATTCAATCATAAAAGGCACAATAATAAAGGACATACAAGTTACAGTTATTCTGCAACTCTGGAGCAGATAAATTTGTTGATGCATTTTGGGTTGCTGCTTGATACTTTTGAGCTGCGGCCCCAAGCTGACTTACCTATACAACCCACATTACCACCATCAAACACCACTAATACAAAATAACTGCAACTTACAATCATACTCTTACAATCCAATGAACACAAAATAACAACCAGTAAAGATTCTACAAAAGAGAAAGGAATTTACTCCTGATTTTACGGAAAATATGAAGAAAAAAAATGGAAACCCAGCATCATCATCATCATTCATATGATATTTCAAGATTGCAAGAACAGTGCATAAGGAATCTTCAAGCAGCCAATCATAAAGTAGAAAGACATTCCAACATCTTGAAATAAAAATCATATAAAAGCAGCATAAAAAGAAATAGAAAGAGTAGATGATCTTTTATTCTTCATCAAATCCTCAGATGGAAATCATAATGCCTAGAGCAAATGTAAGCATAAAATACCAGCGAAAGTGATGACATTGTAACATTTTTTTACCACCTTAGAGTCATAGGCTTGTATTATCTTTGCAAGGATGAAAAAAGGATAAGCAGTTGTATGCAGCAACGAAAAGTTTCAACTCATACCATTCAATATAAAAGAAGCATTAGATGTAAGTAACAAGGTATTGCATATAAACTCAAAACACCCAGGCTCCGTAGGTTTCATACAGTTCAGGCATACCATGCACACAAATCAATAGCATAAATGTTACATTCTCAACCGATAGAGAAATTATTTGATCACAACCTGAGGTATCAACAATCTTCTAGGGATGAGTTCTTCATGGCGCCGAGCACAAAATTCCCAACAACAAATCTGATGGAAGAAATAAAAGAGCAAGAAACTAAGTTAATAAGGCCTCAAAAAGTTCAAAGTTGATAAAAAGCTATTACTTCAATTTATAACCTTCAGGTCTGGTGAGAAAACTATCCGAAGCTGTCCATCACGAACGACACGAAGTTGCTCAAAAACGCTTTCTTGTATTGCTTTTGCATAGTCCAGGACAATTTGACCAGATGAATTCTGATACTCACGGGGCATATCAACATAAAGAAGTTCTTCCAAAGTACCACTTTCATATTTAATTTTGAAAAGCCTAGGTAGAACCTCAACAGTTGCCTCTGAAACCATCATAAACGATATTAGAGATGTGTGTGTGCGTGTGTGTGTGTGTGTGTATAGGCATGATGGATAAATTAGCCACAAGAAACCAATATATACCAATTTAAGCCAGAATAAGATGACAATCTAGTTCGTTGACACCACAAAAAAAGAACTACTATGTATTAATCACGCTAATATAAGATGGCAAACTAGTCGATTGACTGTAACCCAAAAGAAAGAGGAACAACAACAAAAAGAGACAAAAAATCAAGAAGAGGATATACCAAAACCACGTCCTGGCTTGCGGTTGCATATTTCACAGTGCCATACATCCTGTAACATTTTTACAACAGTTTAATTATCCTTTGCATAAATAGTTTGCTATTAAAAAAAGAAAAAACATAAACATAGAAAGATATTGATGACATGTGCAGAGCACAAAGACTCTAAGGAGAAATTTCATCTATAAATATTTATGGGGCATACAGCAAACTAGCAAAGACATAAAGCTCTAAAGATAATTAACCTCATTCAATTACATATGACACCAATTAAATGATGTTCAGAGTCAGAAGTTTCAGCAAGTTTTTCTCAGAAACAGACCTGAGGGAAAACACCAGTTGTTTGACGGCCACTTCCGTACATAGAAACACACCACTTCTTTTTGGCATTTGGAGCAAAGTACTCAGCAACAAATTTTCTCCAAAATTCAATATTGTTGTCCTACATTAAAACAGGAGAGTTACATCCACAAAGCCACTGAATTACATGTGGAAAAAGATCTTCACGCCATGGAGATCTTACATCAGGTCTATGTTGTTGCTGATACATGTAATGTGTCAGACGCCGGGCACACATCCCAGGCTCATAGACTGATTTCACAGGTGATCGCAAAGGCAAATTCTGCTGTTGAAACTGCTGTGGTAATTGAGACCTTTGCTGAGGCATTGCTTTCAAAAGTTGCTGTTGGTGGTGTTGGTGGTGTTGTTGTTGAAGCTGCAAGAGTCTTTGTTGATGCAAAAGATTAATTTGGGCAGCAGCAGCTTGTGAGGGCTGCCGTGGCATGTGAAGTAACTGCTGGTGCTGCTGTTGTTGTTGCTGTTGCTGCTGCTGCTGCTGTTGTTGTTGCTGTTGCTGCTGCTGCTGCTGTTGCTGCTGCTGTTGTTGATGCAAAAACAATGACTGATCTGAATGTTGGGGTTCCATTTTTACCTGTGCCAAAGTTCTCATAGGTGGGATTTGCTGTAGTTCCAGTTTCACTGGAGCAAGATTTCGCAATGATTGCAATTGTTGTTGCTGTTGCTGCTGGCCATGCTGATCATTAGTCATTTGTGGCTCCAATTTGACAGCCCCAGCACCAGTCAATCCTCCTCTAATAGGTTGAAACTGTTGCTGCTGCTGCTGCCCTTGTTGGTTGTTGTGAGAGGTAGAGAACTGTTGCATTGCTTGTTGACCATGTTGGAAATGTTGCGACTCGACTTGTTGGGACTGCTGTTGATCTGGTAAAATATGGTTACCAGAAAGGTTTGAAAATTGCTGACCTTGAACTTGAGCAGACGAACAAGGGTTTGCCATGTTTGATGGCACAAATGATGATGAGGGAGCATTAAACCCCATCCCATTACCTACATTTGAAAGTCGATCAGATTCGGCCCCAGAGACAATTCCTCCACGCTGGCTACTCCCAGGACCAGAAAAATGAGGGTTTGGACCCCCATTTCCAAATGACTGATTAAGAAGGGCAGACACGTTGGGCACATTCCCAAGCATATTCATATTATTAAACTGAGTGCGAGGTGACACTAATGAAGGGAATCCAGTTTGAGAAGGAAGACCACCCCCTTGGGCTCCTAGCATCCCTGAATTTGACCGCAAAAGTGAAGGTGGAATAGACTGCGCACCACCTATAGGAGTAGAAGGCCCCGATGGTACCATGTTTCAAGAATCACTATCTAACACTCACAAAACTGGGACAACTATCTAAAACAACATGAATTCAATTAAATAATAAACAAAAGTTACATAGAAAAACATAAAAATACAGCAGTAGAGCACAATGTAGTCAACAGTTTATCCCCAACTAAACTGCTTTCAGCTTCATACTCATTGTGCACAAATAAGAAGTGGTAAGTTCTGTGCCTGAGCATATAGCTTTCTGTTCCACAATACAAGAGGCCAAGACCAAATAAAACGGAAGCTCAAGAAGGAGCTCTGATTCTGAGCATTCTAAAATTACACCCTCTCCATAAGACAACCAACACTGGAATGGTTTTGGCATGAATCCTTAAATACAAAAATAAGAATTTTCAGATCCACTGCAACCTAAATCCTTTAAAAATAATTTTAATAACAATTAGCATAAAAATTAAAACTTAAATAAACCCTAGAATCTCGCTAACCATAAAAATCAAACTCTAATCAAAGCAAAACCCAAATCTAAAAATCTCACAAAACTCATCAAAAATCAACAAAATTTTAGTTAAATTAAAGAAACCTACCAAAATCAACTTGACAAGCTCAAAATGTTAAACTGTAATAATAATAATAATAATAATAATAATAATAAATTGCAATTTTTCTAAACCAAAACAAAAACTAATGCTCAACTAAATAAAAACTAAAAAAAAAAAAAACCAACTAAATTCATAGCTGTAAGCCCTTAGCAACACAAATCAACTGATCCAAAACTTTGGATGACTAAAACAACAAATGGGTATTAAAGTAAACAAGAAAATAGTAAGAGGGTAGAGCTAAAAAGATTTAAAAAGACTTACCATTATTAAAAATTCCCACCGTTAAACAAAGAGAAGTCTTCTAAATCTCCAAAGCTTCAATTTCAATCAAAATATATCCCAAAACACCCAATTTTTCAAACTCTCTTATCACTTCAATTCTTTTATTTTTTGCTTGAATAAACTGAAGCGATGAAATATCTTTATATCTTACTAACAAAAAAACCAAAAAACCTTTTTCTCTTCTCTCTCAATCAATTCTTCTTTTCTTAGCTTCCTTTTTTACTTCACTTCAATATTCTTCTTGTCTATGTGCCCAGTTCTTCTTCGCTGTATCCTAGAGAGAGAAACCGCAGAGAGAAAAAAAATAGAGAGAGAAAATAAGAGAGGGTTTGTGTTGCCCTTGCGGACGTCAAAATTGTATTCGATCCAATTCTAGTTTTTTCCTTTCCATTCCCTTCCCCACTTAACTTTTTTCTTTTTCCGAAATCAAGTCAAATGCTATTCTTTCTCTTCAATTGTTTTTGTGTATTTTTTATTCCTTTTTATTTCCATGGGATGGTAAATTGTGGCATGTGCATGCATCCATGCATCAACCACATCCATCAATCATGAATTATATAAAATGCGCATTGATTTTTAGTTTTATTTTACCATATGTTGCCCGCTGCGGGTGATAGAGTTCCTCATATGTGAATGCTTAGACCAAATTATGCTACATCTATCTCGTTTCAGTGCTTTGACTTAGCATTTGAAATTAGTCGAATTTTGAATTTTAATTATTAAAATTGAAATTTCAATTTGTTATTGATCGATTACATGATTATTGACTTTGATTTTGATAAAAAAAAAAGGGCATATAAATTTTGTCATAATATTTAGAGTGTGATTTTTATTTACGATATAAAGAACTCAATTTTTTCAATCACCATCTTTAAATTTGTATTCATCCCTTAACATTTTTTTTTAAGACTTAGAAAATAAAATTATCACTTGCGTCTCCACTTTTTCATTAGTCTATATGTTGTGCTGGGTTTATACTTTTAAGCTCACATTATGCTAAAGAATATTATTTAATTAATAAGCGATGTTGTATTTTTATTTTTTTAAAATACCAAAAATTAGTATAAATTGTGTATTTTATTTTAAAAATAAAATATTATATTAACAAACTATCGGAATTGATTAGGTTTGTATTTTCAAAGGATTGATTCTATTCATGATCATTTTTAGATGTTACTAATTATTTTATTTATAAGATTTTTTTATTTTTTGTTTATCTACATTTACATTAGTTATATATATTATTTGTGGGCAAAAACTTAATATATATTGTTAAGAGAATATTTTATTTATAATAATTATAGTATAATTAATTAATAATAATTTAGAATTGTGTGGAATTTATTAAAATTTTATATGGATTTTACACTTATAACCCTTACATTATTTTTTATTGTGATTAAATAATTATACTATTATAATAAAAAAATTTGTAAGTAATGTGCTCTTTATTGTTAATCGCTATTTACTTTAAAAAATAAAAGATTTTAATCTTATTTTTTGACAAGTGGATCCTAGATTAATATTGAACCAAATGCTCTGTCCACTAATTACTAATTAGTACTTTCTGGGTACGAATTCATAATTTACTTGTGGATATGATCACTAAACAGAATGGTGAGATTCTAATGACAAAATTTAGGAAAGATGATTGAGGTAGAAGATCTATTGATTAGTAAGTGTTTTGGAAGAAGTTTCTAAAAGATAAAGGTGGCATTGAATGTGAAAAAATTGTTGAGTGAATTTTTGGTTCCAATGAAAAACAAAAAGGACATAAGTGGTGATAAAATATGAAAAGGTTTCTAACCGGTGTTATAACTATAGAAGACTGGGCCATGTAGACAAGCAGTCTAAAGTGGAAAGAGGGATGAATGAGGGAAGATGAAGATATTTGGAGTTTATAAGTGGTGCAATTGAAATATGAGAAAGGTTAAAAGGAAAAAATGAGGGGTTAAAGAGAAAAAAAAATAGAAGGTGGCGTATAAGATGGGAGGAGAAGATAGGCACATGGAAGAGGTGATGTAAGAAGGGAATGAGTTTGTTAGGAAAAGGGGAAAAAATCATTATGAAGTGGTTCATCAAAAAGTCAATAAACTAATTGAGATAACAGGTACTAAAAGCTTAGGGGTAGAAAAAGAAGTTAAAATAGGTGATAAGGGATGGAATAGTGGGGTAGTGATGATAAGATAATAAGAGGAAAAAAGTAACAAGGCAGAAAATTAGGGGTATAATGAAAAGAATAAGGGGATACATGCAATACAAGAACTTTCAGATTTGTTGGGAGAATCTGTCCTTATAGAAAGTGCAAGAGAAAAAGAAAAAATGAAAGTAAAAAAAACAAAAATCCTAATAATCCATGTAAAACTAGGATAATTTTCCCAAATAACAATAAGAAAAACAAAGATACCTAAGTTTTGAACCAAAACTTGGAAAATTCTTATGTCCGAACGAAGGGATATGAAATAATAAAGAAAAGTTTAAAAAGCTTTTTTGCAAAAAGAAAGATTAACCTAGCAAATAAGGGAGATTATGACTATATTGGTGATATCCCATATATTATGAAACTATCACCAGAGGATGAAAAGGAAGTAGAGAGAGAAGTATGAAAGGAAGATTTGAAAGAAAATGTAGGAAGATATGAGTATTTGCTTACAATGAGGGTTTAAAATTTGAAGTTGAAACAGGGTGAAAAGGGGTTTGAGGAAGAATAAGAACAAATGAGCCAAAAAAAAAAAAAGAAAGAGAAATGATAATTTTAGTTGATATAAATAATAAGGTGAGTTCAATAAAAAGTGAGGGTATGATGAGGGGAAAGGAGATGCACACCAAGAGAATAATAAGAACTAGGAAGAAGTGAGTTAGGAAGGGTGGTAAAGAGAAAATAAAAGCAAAAAACTTGTTTGAGGTTCCAAGTAGGTTAAATTAAATAAGATAAAATTTATTAGAGGAGATAGGGGTTAGTGAGTGGAGGAAAATGATAACTAAAGGTTACAGTGGCTAGACACAAATAGCCACTAAAGGGGAATGATTGCACTATCATGGAACTATTAGGAAATGGGGTCAGCCTTGATGGTTCAAGCTCTTAAAGAACTTAAAAGTAAGTATGACCTAGATTTGATGTTCTTAATGAAAACCAAGAATGGTACAGAGAATGTGGAAAAAAAATAAAGAAGCTACATTTTGATGAAAGGTTTTGTGTGAATTTAAAAGGCTAGAGTGAAAGGTTGGCACTGTAGTGGAAAAAATAATGTTCAACTTATAATGGTGGAAAAAGGGAATTATTTGTTAGACATAATAATGAAATGTATGAGTAATGGAATAAAGGTTAAAATTTTTTAGATATATAGGGCACCAGCGTTTGAAGAATTAAGGAAAGTATTGGATTATATAAAGATAAAGGCATTAAAAATAAGTGGTTTGTGGCTATGCATTGGGGGCTTTAATGATATAATGGAAGAACAAGAGAAAAAAAAATAGTAAAAAAAAAGTGAAAAATGGAATGTTTTAGGAAAATGCTAAATTTTTACAGTCAAAAGATCTAAATTATGAAAGATAACTATTTACGCTATTTTGGGGTTAAAGAATGGGATGTAGTGAAGGAAAAATTAGATAGGGTAGTAGCCAATATGGATTAGAGATTTAGGTTTCCAAACACCTAGGTATTCAATTTGGTAGCAAAAGATTCTAATTATTCACCAATTGTATTGTTTTCAAATTTTATGAAAAAGAAAGGACGTAGGAGATTTAAGTTTGAGTTGATCTGGTTAAATATAGAAGAATATGGAAAAATAGTTAAAGAAGGTTAGAGATTGTAATACCAAGGATCAAGAGCATTTCAAGTTGTGTAAAATATTGAAGAATTGTGAAAGGCTATTAAAAAGTGGTGTAGTTAAGGGAGAAATAATAATAAATGAAGGATAAAAGAATTGAAAAATCATAAAAAGTAGATGCAATTGAATATAAGAACAATGGAAGAGTTCCAAGTAATAATGGAGAAAAAAGAAGAATTACGAAGAATGTGGGAACTAGAAGAAAAATATTGATAGTAAAAATCAATGGGGAATTGGTTGAGCTTAGGTGATAGAAACACAAAGTTTTTTCACCAAGCTATTGTATAAATGAGGCAATTTAAAAAACTCTTAAAATAAAAAAAAAATGGTAAGTGGATTGATAAAAAGATAAGATAAAATATTGTTTTAGGAATTTTTATGTTGACTTGTTTACCAATGAAGGGAATAAAAATTAAGAAAAGGTATTGAATTATGTTTCAACTATAATAACTAAGAAAGTGAATGAGGCATTAACTTGTGAAGTGCAATAAAAAGAAATAGTGGTAGTATTCCAAATTGAATCTTTAAAAGCACTAGGACCTAATGATTTTAATAGATTATTCTATCAAAATTTTTGGGAAGTTATCAAGGTGGATGTGATTAGAATGGTTAAAGCTTTTTTTCATTCTAGGAGAATGTTAAAGGAACTAAACAACACTAATATTGTGCTCATTCCAAAAGTCAAAGGGCTAAAAGGTGTGTCAAGCTTTAGACCAATAAGCCTCTTCAATTATGGGCATAAGATTATTTCAAAGGTGTTGGTGAACAAGTTGAAACCTTTCTGGTGGAATTATAACTAAAAATTATAGTGTCTTTGTGGGGAAGAGACAAATACAAGACAATATTTTAATAGCCCAAGAAGTTTTTACCATATGAAGCTTAGAAAAAAAGGGAAAATATATGATAACTATGAAGGTGGATATGAATAAGGCATATAATAAGGTGGAATAGGGATTCCTTCAAGTAATCATGACCAAATTAGGCTTTGACAGGATTTGGATTAAATAGATTATGGAATGTGTTAGTTCAATTTCTTATTTAATTATAAATGGAAAACCTAATAGAAAAATTCTTTTTTCTAAGAGTCTTAAACAAAGAGATCCTTTTATCTCTCTACCTTTTTCTCATAATGATAGATGTCTTTTCTAGAATGATCTAACTAGGTGTTAATGGCAATAAAATTACAAGAATTAAATTGAATAGGTAATGCCTTATGCTATCATATCTATTTTTTGCTGATGATTCACTATTTTTCTTATAAACTAATCTTATTAATTGTAAAAAGATGTTTGATATAATTCAAATGTATTGTCAAGTTTCAGGACAAAGAGTGAGTTTAGAAAAGTCCAGTTTAATTTTTAACAATAATGTACCAAAAAAGATAAAAAAAAAAAATAAAGATTGCATGGGAATTAAAGCAGTTAGCAATCTAGGGATGTACTTGGGGATCCAACTAGTATAGGGAAAATCAAAGGCTAAGGTGTTAGGATATATAAAAGAAAGGGTGATGGCAAAGCTAAAAGTTGGAAATAAAAGACTTTATTAATAAGAGGTAAGGAAATTTTAATAAAAGCTGTTGCTTGTGTTTTTCCTACATATACTATGTCTTGTGACAAGTTCCCAAAAAAGAGTTGTATAGAGTTAAATTCTATGATTGTGAATTTCTGGTGGGGGCAAAAAGGTAATGATAACAAAATACAATAGAAAAACTGAGAAGACTTACAAAATCAAAAATGATTGGTGGAATGG